GGGGGGGGGGGATATAAAAACAGTCCAGGTAGGCTGCATGGGACATATGAAAGGGTCAAACTGCAGGTGTCTGTTGGGTGGGATGAAAACCATGATTGCATAGACATAGTTCAACAGATATCACACAGTGTCATTTCACATAAAACCTAAAAGGAAACATACAAAAAATGGTGACATCTCTTCTAACTGGATGACAGGACTAGGGCTGATTTTTTTCTCACGTTTTAGGTAACTTTTCTATACTGTTGTTATAGTTTCTGTAACTTAAAATAGATTTTTTTAAAAAGGAAGTTAGGCAGGGGAATTGATTTTCTGAAGCAAGTGAAAGTCAAGATAATCATAAATCTTGAGACAATGAAATGGAAGTCTTGAGAAACTGAAATCAGACCCAACATACGATTTTTCAAAAATTTTTAAACAGTTTATTGAGATATAATGTTACCTTAAAAATAATTCTCAAAATTGTGCCCTTTTTGGCAGGTGAGGTCACAAAATCTGAGAAACAGTGGAGCCCTTCACCTCTCATGCCCAGATTCCACTGCTCTTTCCACGTGATTCTTTTTTTTTTAATTGAATGTATTGGGGTGACACTGGTTAATAAAATTATATAGGTTTCAGGTATACAATTCTGCAATGCATCATCTCTATATTGTCTTTTTTAAATTTCATAAAACTATATTTTGGAAATTTGGAGGGAGAATAGAGAATGCAGAGCCTGGAGGAAAGAGCAACATTCTGACTGACAATTTTGTGACCCTGCTGGGTTTTTCCTATTACACAACTGGACAACAGAAGCTGAAGAGTGAGACCAAACCAGAACCCCTGAGGTGTCTGGTAATGCCGTTCAGGCCCGTTGCTAGAAAGGGAGAGGGTGGCTCAGTATCTCAACCTAACCCCTAGAAGGGCCCCAGAGACCTAACTATACCCAGTGGAGGTGAAAGAACCCATTCTTCTGGGGGGGGAAATTTCACACAACACACAAACATGCATAGATACATCTACACAAAACTAACGTAGGTAAGAAGTACATGCAGCTCTTCCTTTCAAAAGATCTTTTCAGTGGTTAGACTTCAAGAGATTTCACATTTTCTGGTGCATTACCTTTAAAATTGTGACTTTTTCTATTCCAAATGTTTCCTGGTCAACATTTGAATGAAAAAGGTTGTTGTTTTCAGACAATAATGAGGCTCTTCTTCGTAGCTTTCTTTTATCTGACACTTCATATTAACTTGACATGCAACATGCGAGTCTGTGTGCACCCACTCCCATTTCGCCTCCCCAACCCTCCCACGCTCGCCGTCAGTTACTGCTGTCTACGCCTGAACACCAGAGTCGGCGCCCTCCTGTGTCGTAGTTACTGTTGATATAAAACTCTAGTTGCCTTAAACACAAATCACATTTTAGTATCGACCCGAGGATGACAAGAATTGCCTGGAGGAAAGAAATCCAGTTGCTTAAATTTTTTTATATTCTACCCTTGTCACTGCTGTTCAAAACCTAAAATGGTGCCAAATATGAGTGCATCAGATTTAGTATAGAACTCCTTTGATGGTTAGGAAAACTCCAGCTTTCTTCAATAAAAATAATTCCTAAATGGTTCAAACCCAAATTTTTAACTCTATAAAAAGAGAGAAACGTTACCTAAATGCTTTAATTTTTTTTTAAATCCTCACCTGAGGATATGTTTATTGATTTGAGAGAGAAAGAGAGGGAGGGAGGGAGAGAGAGAAAACTCCATCAGCTGCCTCCTGAACACGCCCGACTGGGGGGTGGGAGTGGGGATGGAGACGATGGGATGGGGATGATGAG